GAGTTCTATTTCTTTGTTGACGAGGCAACAAAGCTCATTTTGAAGTCTACAACAACAAACAAAGCAGGAGGGAAATACAAGGGAACCATAGTTTCTCTCTGGGATCTTCTCTACTCCAAATACATCACTGAAGAAAAGAGGCGGGAGCTTGTCCAACAGTACAAGGCTGGATCAATCACAATTGAACGCTTCATGGAAATACTCATTACGACCATTCAGCAGCAGACCACCACCACCACCACCACTACAACAACCATCACCACAACAACCACAAGTGCCGATCAGGATAAAACCGTCAAAGGAATCAGAAAGGACGTCTCTGTTTCTGAACTACTCAAATCAAAAATCATTGATGAAACCCTCTACAAGGACCTCAGTGCTGGAAAAGTCACGGTGGCTGAAGTAAGTCAAATGGACTCAGTGCGTAAATACCTCGAGGGCACCAACAGCATTGCAGGAGTTTACCTTCAGGCCACCAAGGAGACACTGAGTATCTACGAAGCCAAAAAACGGAATTTGCTGCCTCCTGGTACCTCCCTGATTCTGCTGGAAGCCCAGGCTGCCACTGGCTTTGTGATTGACCCAGTAAAGAACAAGAAACTTTCTGTAGCAGAAGCTGCAGCTCAAGGACTAGTTGGCAACGAGTGGAAGGACAAACTGCTTTCAGCAGAACGAGCAGTTACAGGATACAAAGATCCCTACACCGGAAACACAATCTCTCTGTTCCAGGCCTTGAAGAAAGATCTCATTGTAAAGGATCACGGTATCCGTCTTCTTGAAGCCCAAATTGCAACAGGAGGCATCATTGATCCAATCTACAGCCACAGAGTGCCAGTAAAGGTGGCATATGAAAGAGGCTACTTTGATGAAGAAATGAACCAGATTTTGTCTGATCCAGATGATGACACCAAGGGCTTCTTTGACCCAAACACTAAGGAGAACCTCACCTACCTTCAGCTGATTGAGAGGTGCATCACAGATCCCATAACAGGACTCAGTTTATTGGTCGTTGTGAAGAAAGGGGAGTTCTATTTCTTTGTTGACGAGGCAACAAAGCTCATTTTGAAGTCTACAACAACAAACAAAGCAGGAGGGAAATACAAGGGAACCATAGTTTCTCTCTGGGATCTTCTCTACTCCAAATACATCACTGAAGAAAAGAGGCGGGA